AACTCATGACCTTGCGCTTGCCAGGCAGGCGCTTTTGCCACTGAGCTAAATCCCCAGCCCCACTCCCTACTATTTAAGCACTAGGAAACATTGATCAGCTAGGACTTATGGATTCTAGCCACGTGTAGGCAGAAATCTAAAATCCAGAGACCATCTACCCTCTTCACCAATAGGAGGAATGGACTACAGAGAAACCACCCATCTCCCTGTCTTTAACATTCTCCTGTTGCCTCAGCCTTACTGAACTCTTACTCCTGCTCATTGCTTTACTCTTCTTTAAAAGATGAATATACTCTTTTACCATTAAGTGAAGACAATCTACTCACACATGCCACACATATTTGTGACAGTGTCCTTTACAGCTATTAAACAAATCTTGACCTAGTAAATTTCTAAGTTATTCTAATACTTGCACAAATGATCACAAATTTTCCAAATTGTGCCATGAAATCAAGCTGATACTGTATGTTAAGACATTTATGGACTGATATTGCTTCCTTAGAAACAAAATTAAAAACATAATTATTTGGGATTTGGTTCATTCACAAATATGTGAGAGGGTAACTTTTCCACTATAATAGTGCACAGTGATATTGCCTTGTTTATGTACAGATAGGACAGATTGTGTCTGACTTTCTAAGCAAAAAACACCTGACATCATGGATCCTTGAACTGTGTGGCTTTCTCCGTCAGTTCTGGAGAGTAACATGATGCTTCTTCTCATCAGCCATCGGGTCACCCAAATCTGAGCAGGTATCTATTTTAAAAGGGACGTGCCCTTCCTCCCTCAAAAGACACCTCCCCAAGCCCAACCGAGCCTCAAAGCCCCAGGCATAGCCACTTTGGGGTGGGACAAAGATTAACTCAGTGGACTCTACAAGGGACAGCCCACAAATCCACAGGAACTCCACAAGAGACATTTCCGTGGGGTGCAGCGCTAAGGGAAGGCTCTGCTTTCACTCCCAGGGGGCTCAGTGTGGTCACTCAGCCTTCCCTCTGTCTCTGGTCTAAACAATCTACTTTCCAAAACAGTGTCACCACCTGAGCTCTGGCTCCCACACCTCATGCTCTCTGAGGACTTCCCCATCAGTTAGCCTCTGTCATCATTCCTTTTTTCTACAGGCTCTTTCCTGAGGCAACAGATTCTAATTCTCCTAATGCAAATTTGAGAAGAAAAAGGACATGAAGAAGAGCAAGTTGGGAATAAAGAAAAATAGTCTTGATAGCAATTAGCAAAATGGTTGAAAAATAAAAAGACTGGGTATATTAAAAGTTCTGGCTCATGAAGAGGAGTGGGACTGAGGCAGTAGTCCAGGAAATAAGCTGTCAGCTGATGGCCTTGGTCTAGACAGGTGGACAAGGAGAGAGCTGGGGAAGAGCTCTTTCCTTCCCCAGTTACTGCATTTTCTGTTTCGCTGTGCTGCCAAGGACCTCAGAACAATCTTCTCATTCCTTAGATGTCTTTCTCCATTCTCTTAATTGTTGGTTCTGGTGCTCACCCCACCACTCAGCTGAAATTCTTCTAGGAAAAGTTCAGCAGACCTCTCCAGCCAACCTAGTGACCCTAGACTGTACTGATCTCTCCACAGTATCTGATGCTATTCCTGCCCAACTTTTGCCCCCATGGCTACCATGTGTGCATGCATCTACACACACATGCCACATTTTATCAACTAGCTTTTACGTCAACCTCCCCTCCAGTTTGCTTACCCCTGACCAGCCCTTCCTGGCTCTCACCCTTGACCACTCTACTGTGCCCAATGTCCTCGCATTTCCCACCCCCCAATCATTAGACTTCTGCTTAAGGGGCCTTTAAAGGGTCAGTCACAAAGGAGGGCTCCATATTTGCTTTTGAATGAATGAGTAAATACATGGATCAGGATCAAACTTATTTTGCTCCTTGTCAATTGATTATCTACTTTAGCCAACCGATTTGCAATCTGAACTTCCTGCCTTGGGTCCTGGTTCCCCCTGGCGGCTTCTACACAGGTGTCCGGGCACCCCCCACCCCCACTGCACATCAACCCGGAGCCACCCCTCCTTCAACCTGCTTCTCCACCTGTGTCTTACCTCGCCTAGTAATTGGTCCTCCTCCTGTCACGCAGACTGGCATCTCCCTCTCCCACAGCCCCTACCCAGTCAGTCTACAAGTTCTGTGTCTCTGACCTTCAGGACACCTCTTTACCAGCTCTCTCCTTGACCACCTATCTAAACCGAGGCCAACAGTTGAGAGCTTACTTCCTGGACTACTGCCTCAGTCCCACTCCTCTTCACAAGCCAGAACTTTTAATATACCCAATCTTTTTATTTTTCAACCATTTTGCTAATTGCTATCAAGACTACTTTTCTAACACACAATTCTGCCCTTATGTTGCTCCTCCCCAAACCTCTTCCATAACTTCTCACTGCCCATGAATAAGGTCTAAACTCACTGCATTCAAGACCTTCCTTCCAGGATTTGAAGCCAAAGTGACCTCCCGCTGCTCCCTGTTCCCCATTCTCTAGCTGCAATGGACGTTACCCTCCACTTTCCACCCAGCCAGAGAAGGACTATACATTCATCTCTGTGAACCCCGCTGCCTTCATACAGCACCCTGTACACAGAGGTAATCAACAGATGTCTGTTCAACTGAACAGACTCTGCCCTTTGATCATCATGGAAGCTCAGATGAAAATCTGGTCCAGGCGAATTTTTATCCTCTTATTACAATGTAACCTTGTTAAGTCAGCTGAGGGAGGCATGTTCCTAGCCATGGAAACAGCTCCTTGAAAACAGGGAACTGAGCTTTCAGGAGTGAATCTTCTTTTCTCCAGGAGCAGTCAATACCTGTCCCTTTCCTTCCATCCCTCACCATGAGACCGGAGCTTCTGCCTTCCCTGACCTTTGTTGTCTGGAAGGCTACCGGCCTCTCCCCAACAGCAGGAAAACAGGCAGCAGTAGGGAGGTCACTGCAAACCTATGTACAACTGCCTTCCTAGGGACACTGGTTTCCAGCAGTGGCAGTGATGACAATGAATTCAACCCTCTTTAACAGGTTTTCAGGAAAATGACCTAGTCTCCAAATATTTTATGGTGACTCCATGAGGGTCAACAACTTAAACTACTTCTTGTGCTGTGGCCTATTCATGTGGGTGACAGCAGAGAAGGGGCCCATCTCCCTGTTCCAGAGAAGCAAGAGACATCTGATCCAGCTCCTCTCTGTCATCTCACCTTCTAGCAAGAGCTGCATGAGGTAACCGCCCAGACTCTGTTCCCAGAGCGTATCCACATTCCCAGCCTAACTTTCAGGGACCTGCCATTCCTGGGCTCCCTCCTCCCAATGAACATGAACCTCTGACCAACAAGTCCAGTCCTTGCACCCCTCACAACACAACACACAGGGCCTTGACTTTCCCCTTCCCCTGCCCACGATGCCCTGGCCGCACTCTTCACTGTCACAGCCAACCAGCTGCCTTCAACACCACAAGGAAATCCTCCTCATGAAGTCCTTTTTGATGAGCAAGGAAAGACCTCAGTGAATCCAGGCCATCTCCTTCAGCATTCACTACGCCCAGTCCCTCACTGCCTCCCAAGCAGCAGGGAGCTATGCTCTGTGTCAAGAGTTCCTGGGCTCTCCCACAACGGCGAGTCTAGTGCTAGATACCCAGAAC